AAGCCCCTTCTGTCTGTCAGAAGGGATTGCAGCAGCAGTCATGGGAGCGGATCGGCAAAGGGCATGCTGGCGACGTCCAAGGACTCGTGCGGCGTCCAGTGAGAGCGACCCCTGCTCAGAGACGAATGCCGAACACCTCCAACAAAGTGTCCACGAAGCAACGTCCTTTTCTCCCCCCCACACACAAACTAAGTGACGTTGGAATCCTGAATTTAGCCTTCTTTTTGGTGGATACTTGTCGTTGTTGTGACATTGCTTGGACAGCATCGTTTTTGGTGGTTGTTGAATCATCGTCTAACCCAGTGGTGGCTGGAGTTCAGATGACAGTGAGGCCACCGTCATCTTCCCGGTCCCTACCCGTTAGACCACTGCTTAAACTCAAAGATGAAGTCTCACCAAAACCCAGGGAGCGTGGACTCCACCGTGCAGGGCGGCCGGGAGGGCTGGGTAAGAGTGGGGTCACGGTGCCGCCCATCGCATGAGGTCCACGGGCAGGCTGCCCCCGCCCTTGTCCTGCCTTCAGTGCCGGGTCGGCGAGTCCCGCCAGGAGCTCCCATGGAATGGCAAGAGAGGAAACACTTCTCTCTGCCTTGAAAGGAGCATGGGGCGTATTTTCTACTTATTGAATGGATGGATGAATGAATGAAAAAGGTTCAGCGACAACCTATGGAAAATGCCGACAGCAGCGCCTGGCGCACAGTAGGTGCTCGGCAAGCAATAGCAGTGGAAGGGGCGGCCGGTGGCTGGTGCGGCAGACAGCTTAGAAGCCACGCGGCACAGTCAGGGCCTCTGCTTTGCCACTTCCTGGCTGTGTGGCCTTATGCCAGCTGTTGGTCGTCTTTTAGGCCTCAGTTTCCCCAACTACAAACTCCACCTACAATGTGGAGTTGTTGCAAAGACTGAAGATAACAATAACATTTGTTTAAAAAAAAGACCAAGTACTGGGGAACCCAAAAGACCTTCCAGCCCAGACCCAGGAGACAGTGAAGTGCCAGCTTGAGGGCTCCGTATAAACAGGGTGAACAGGAGGCAGGGAAGACGGGTGGAGAAAACCTGGAGCAGGGCGTCTGGGGGGTGCACAGGGAGCATGGAAGCCGGCAGGCTGGAGGGGCGCAGGTAGGAGCAGGTGGGCAAAGGGAGAGGCGAACGTTGGGAAGCCCAGGCTGAGGCATTCGGACCCCCGGCCCAGGCGCCGACTCGGAAGTGCTCGGGAAGATGCTGGAGTGTATGGATGGGAGCAGTGTGGGTTGGGGGGAGAGTCCTACTTCCCCCTTTAGACATGAATTAAAATGACATTGATTCAACAGCCCTTGATGGGGCTTATCTCGATTAACTCCTGCCTTTTGGCTCAAGTTAGTCTTCTTTGTGCTGTCAACCTTGGGCCCCTGTAGCAGCCTGTCACCACGGTCATTATCAGAGATGGGGAGGAGGGGTCTGGGGGTGTGTCTGTCCAAGTTGCTTCCCATCAGAGGCTGTTGAGACAACACCGTGTCTCCTTAATCCCTGCGAGACAGAGACAGAGTCGTTCTGACATCTTCAGATGGGAATTCTACCCTTGGATCCCGACAGGGTCTGCTCTACGCGGACCCCGGGCCTTTCTGACCTCTGCCTGTGATCAGGACGGCAGGACACCGGCTCACGAAGTCTCACCTAGGAGTTTATAAAGGGCCCGGCCGAGGCTGGGTTCCCCTGCACAGGCCTGCAAAGACGGGGCCTTTTCTCCGTGGGCTGAGGACACTGGTGCACACAGACCACTGAAACGATGGGCGGTGTCTCAAGGATGGGCCTGGGGCCTGGGGTCCGGTCCGGGAGTCCTCAAGAGTGTTATCCATTTCTCTGCTTGTCACTGGCACCCCCTACCCAGCCCAGCCTTCTCCTCTGCTCACCTCCTCGTGGGCCTGGCCATACACACTTGCCGAGACCACTGCTTACGCCTGAACCCATCAGTGGGAAACTCGAGAGAATTCTGGGAACCCCCAAAGCTAAGGGGACATTCTTAGCATCCACGCGCTCTTGCTGGGGCTGGTGTGGGGGGGATGGTTTTGTTACTAATAACCTCTGCTGTTGGCCTTGTATCAAACTATCACTCAACTCATTCTGGAAAATTTGCAAATACAGGCAGGCGAAAAGGAAATAAAAGCCCCCAACATCCCTTTATCCAGAGATAAACACTGCCCTACAGATTCCTAGGCTTTCCTTCTATGCACATAGATATATATTTGTGCCTTTTCAAAATAGGGCCGTACAGTGCCGTTCTGCAACCTGGTCTTTTCGCAGATCCACTGTAAATATCTTTCCGTGTCATTAAATAGGTTCTCACTACTGGGTTTTTAATGACCGCCAGTGCCGGCTGGCAAGACGCGGCCCAGTTGGCTTGTTGTGTTGTTTCTCTCTCGCGCCTGTGGTCCTGCAACTCAAACCGTCGCCCACTCTAAGAAAGTGCCAAGGTTTAGCCAATTAGAAGCTCTTCATTAAAAATGAAAAGGGCATCCGTAGCCCTTGAGAGGGTGGGCCAGCGTCCTCATTGTTCTGAAAGGTGTCCGTGTCGCAAATAGCAACCTGGCCATTAGCCAGTTAGGCTGTGCACGTGGAAAAGAGGCCTGGCTGCATTTCCCTGTGGACTTCTTTACAGAAGCTGAGCTGCTTGCTTACAAAAAAAAAAAAAGAAAGAAAGAAAGTAGAAGAAGATGTTTTGTAATTGTTTGCAAGTGCGCACAGGCTCAGTGGCAAAATGAGACGGAACCCTTGATTTCTAACCTCCTGCTGCACTGTTCAAAATTCCTCCCAGAGAAGCAAGTGGGAAGCAAAGTGAAGCACTCTGATTGTAAAATTTGCATTCTCTCTTAGCCGGTTATTGTCCCAAAGGACATTTCACATCAAACTGTACTTGTTTGTAAAGATCTTTCACCCAAGACAGACTACTTCTCAAGACACTGCTGATATATAGGCTAGAGAAATACAAAGAAAGAATTAAAAATACTGACAGCCCTTAGGTAAAAATATAAATGGATCTAAGGACAGCTGCTGTCAGCTCAGAAACCCTTAGTGGATGATCTCGCTCAGAGCCCCAGTTAGGTAAATAATCAGAAAAACAACAGCAACAGGGAGGAAAGCGGAACAATGTTAATTAAGGGAATGTGCTTGTTCAACATACTTTTGGGTAATGCCAATAGTGGGCCAGGCACTGAGAATCAGAGATAGATAAACCCCCATTTCTATGCTCAAGGAGCCAACGGTCTAAGAGGAGTCAAAGGTGCCAACAAACATTTGAAATATGCCGTGACAAACGTCACGCCCAGGCACATATGAACAAGGCATGTGACAACAGAGGTGTGACCCCTCTACCTGCTGGCGCTGGGGAGGCTTCCAAGAGGAGGGAAGGATAGAAACATCCAGGCTTTCGGGTGAAGCAGGGTGTCCCAGGAAGGGGCCCAGCCAAGGCATGGGGGCATGAAACAGCAAGTGCGTTCTAAGAACCACACCTGGTCAGGTAGGATTGAAGCACGGGGGTGGGGCCTCAGGAGGCGAACTGGTGGGGCCCACAGGAGCTGGATCTCCCTGTGTCCTGTGTCCTGGGGAAAGGGGCGTGGGCTTTGTCCAGCAGGAGTGGATTGCTGGGAGGGAGGACAGCAGACCCGGGAGGGAGCGTGAGGCCCACGCTCAGCGTCGGCAGTGGCTACGTACTGAACAGCCGGGGATGCGGAGCTGGCCTTCAGCACCGGTCAGCCTCCGCTGAAGGGCCCCGCAGCCCAGCCAGCCTCGTGAATGGCGCTGCCTCCATCAGGGCTCCGCGGCCACGTGGAGCAGAGGGGCAGGCCACGGCTGGATTCCACGGGAAGACTTGGCCATTTGAGTAGGGGTTGGCCATCGTCCCCTCCACTCCAGGGGACTGAAAGAAAGTGTGGATGAGAAAAGGACCGCACTGCTGCCCGGGGTGGGGGAATGAAGCCAGGAGGGGCTGAGAGAGATGAGGGGCCAAGGACTCGGGTCTCCACGGAGCAGGGATGACCTGTAACCCACAGGCGTGGGCGAGCTGGAGGGGACGGAGGCTGTGGTCTGAAGTCAGACTCCAAAGCTGACAGCAGTGAGGCAGAGGTGACCAGGGAGGAACAAGGCAAGGCTTGCCTCCCCTTCTCACCAAAGCTGAGCGGTTTCCAGGACAGGTACACACGGCTGGAAACAGCCTGACCCTCCAAGGGCCTCTGCTTAGAACCGTGCCTGCCAGAGCCTCGACCTCTAGGCGGGACAGGCGCCCAGGTCACCGGAGCCTGGAGCGCTACCATTTGGACCACCTCACCTTCCCGAGGAGCACCGAGCAGTTACAGTTTGTGATAAGTTACAACTCTGCGTGTGGATTCTTACAGCAGGGCGCTGGCGATTTCCACCACTCGGTAACCGGTGGGGCTCGTGGCCTCAGTGCTTGCCATAATCATTCTTAACTCAGCGTTTTTCTTTTTCTAATATTTATTGAGGTTTTCTTTTTAAGATGTACACAGTTTCAGGGTACACGTGATGATTTAATGCACTGATATAATCTGTAAACATAAAATCAGTGTACTTGGGATAGCCATCACTTTAAACATTCGCATGATTCTAGCTATTTTGGAATGTACAACGGGCTGCTGTAAACTGTAGTCGCCCTAATGATCTACCTAACACTAGGTCTTACTTCTTCCATCAAACCCTGTATTCGTGCCTATTAATCAACTTCCCTTCGATGCCCCGCCCTCTGGTAACCACCAGTCTGACTTCATGGGATGCCCATTTTTAGCTCCCACATGAGGACATGCCAGCTCCGTTTGTAGCCTCCGTTTGGCACGGGAGACCCGAACTCATGCGCTTTCACTCGGAGTCGCCCCAGACCCTTTAGGGAGCCAACGCGCCCAATACACCAGCCACGGAGCAGCGTGCGGGCTGTCCTGTCGGGGGTGCGGGATGCGGGATGCGGGGTGCAGGCTGTCCCCGGCCCGGGCCCGCGGTGACCCTCGGCCTCCCCGCAGGTGCGCGCAGGCGCTGCTGGAGCACGGCGCCTCGGTGCAGCGCGCGGGCGGCGCGGGCGGGGACACGCCGCTGCACGTGGCGGCGCAGCGCGGCCTGGACGAGCACGCGCGCCTCTACCTGGGCCACGGAGCGCGCGTGGACGCGAGGAACGGCCGCGGCGAGACGGCCCTGAGCGTGGCGTGCGGCGCGGCCCTGCGGCCCGACGAGCGCGCGCGCTGCCTGCGCCTGTGCGCGCTGCTGCTGCGGCGGGGCGCGGCGGCGGACGCGCGCGACGAGGACGAGCGCAGCCCGCTGCACAAGGCCTGCGGCCACGCGCAGCCCGACCTGGCACGCCTCCTGCTGCGGCACGGCGCCGACGCGAGCGCGCTCGACTACGGGGGCGCCTCGCCGCTGGCCCGCGTGCTGCAGACGGCCGCCTGCGCGCCCGGGAGCGCGCCTTGGCGCACGGTGCAGGCGCTGCTCAACCACGGCTCCCCCACCGTGTGGCCCGACGCCTTCGCCAAGGTAAGGCGGGACCCCGCGGGCTGGCACGCGCCACAGGTGGCCGAGGAGCGCCCCGGAGCTTGGCAGCGCAGGGACCCTGCCTGTGGGAGCCGGGGTGCATGCTGCTCTCAGACGGTAAAGGGCCCAGGAGCCCCCAGAGCACCTGTTACAATGCAAATTCGAATCCAGGGGGGCGGGGTGGGAGATTTTGCATTCCTAACAAGCTCCTGGGTGAGGCTACTGCCTTGGGAACCCACTTTGAGGAGCAGGGGCCTAGAAACCTGGCTAGAGTCGCTAGAAAATTCAGACATTGGATGTCAGTGAGCATACCAGAATGTATCCTTTCAAAGTAGTCACCTGGGGACGCCTAGCACTTGATTCGGATGACGCCGTCATGGCCCAAAATATTTTGGCAGCGCATCTTTTGGCGTAATTTTCAGAACGATGAAAATCAGTCTCTTGCCTCATCTTGCATTTGATCTGAAGCAAAATTACCCGATCTGATCATCCTATTCGTGATAACACTTGCACTTTTCCAAATTTCTCTCATTCAGTCCTCACCACACTGCTGCAGAATCCGCCCGGCAAATGTTCTTACTCTACCTGGGCTTCAGCCAGGCGAAGTGCCCGGTGCAGGTCTCCATGTGTCGGGACCTCACCCCCGTTCTGCTGGCTGGCCCTGGCAGACTTGACTCTGAGCCACTTGTCACTTTTTCCACCTGTCAGATCTACCCAGAAATAATTATGACGAAGCACATTTTCTCATTAGAGAAAAAAATACCCAAAAGACTGAAAATATTTCCAGAAGAAAAGTTCCCAAAATATTGGTTGGAATAAGAGACGTCCTCCCAGAAAGACCTCATTGAAGGGAAGTCATTCCATCTGATGTAAAATTTGGGTGTGTTTAATTTTAAAATTATCCTTTAAAAATTATGCCTTTAAAATTCAAGACTCGGGGGGCGGGTATATATATACATAAGGAGTGAGATGTGCACGATCTGGGGGATGGTCATGCTGGAAACTCAGACTTGTGGGGGGGGGCATTTATTGAAACCTTAAAATCTGTTCCCCCATAATATGCCGAAATTAAAAAAAAAAAAATTCAAGACTCACCTGAAAAGCTAATATTCTAGATGGTCTGAAAGAGTGAAATTCACACATTTCTCTCAAATGCTAACTTTTCACTTTAGATGCATTCAGAGTACAGATGTGTCCTCAGAAGGTGAGATGACCACGGAACATCCACCATTTCCTTACTTGACAAACACGATGACACTTTTCTGATCCCTCGCACCCTGTCTTCAAGTAGTTCTTTGGTGGCGCTCTACGAAGGCAGTGATTTCAATATGGTGACTCTTCAAAGGGGAGAAATGCCAGCATTTTTACATTCTGTAACACTTACCTTTTATGTTCATACTTTGCATTTTAATGTTTCTCATTATTAGCAGGCTTGGTTCATGATCCTACAACATGGAAATAAGACTCACCCACTGCCCTGCAATCCACATAGTGTCTGCATTAAACCAAAATGCACACTGCAACCCTCGTCATGAAACTACATAAAGAGTGAAAAGAAGGCTGGTGCGGTGGCTCATGTCTGTAATCCCAGCACTCCGGAAGGCTAAGGCGGGAGAATGGATTGAGGCCATGAGTTTGAGAACAGCCAGGGCAACAAAACAAGATCTCGACTCTAAATTTTGGGGTTTTTTAATTAGCCAGGTGTGGTGGTGCATGCCTGTAGCCTTAGCTCTTTGGGAGGCTGAGGTGGGAGGATCACTTGAGCCCAGGAGTTCAAGGTTACAGTGAGCTATGATTGTGCCACTGCACTCCAGCCTGGGTGACAGAGCAAGACCCTGTATCTTGAGGGAGAAAAAAATGAAAAGAGAAACAGACTTTACAGGATGGGCCTCAAGTAGAAAATATCTGGTGCAATTTCTTTTAAAGAAAAAAGGAATGAGTATATTTCAGTAGTGGCTAGCAATAATCCTTCATTACCCTTGATACCATTTCAATTTGAATGATCTTTGCCCAAGTTTTTGAGTACCAGGGGCAGCCCCAAAGGCACCATTTCTGGGAACAAAACCTCTAACTCCTCATCTCTTGTCTCCATGGCGGTGGCAACTACCCTACCTCGCCCTGGAGATGCAGGACAAGGCACCGGCCTCCCTCTGGGTCTCCTGTTCTGAGACCCCCAATACCGTGTCGGCCACACGGGAATGGGACGCAGTCAGTAGGGCAGCTCATCCTCTGTTCAGACTGGGGGTGGGTTTGGGTTTGGTTTTGGGGGACATGGGGAATGGGGGAAGGGGTTGCCAAGAGGCCAGGAGACGCTCTTACCAACGAACTTCCAGCCAGTCCCGCACTGTTGTGGAAAGAATTGGAGTCTCCTTTAAAAAATCTTCATTCTATGAGGCCTTTACCAAAAAGTGTCACCCACCATGGCCTCCCCTGCACACGGCACACGGCACAGTGCAGACCTGCAACTCGCTCCTGCGGCTCCAGGCGCGGGGCTGCCTCACACCCTTGGGAGGGAGGGAGGACTCCACCAGCGCGCTGAGACCCCGCAGCCCTCCAGGGGCGCCCCGCCCGCGGGCGCAGTGGGCGGATGGGGACTTGCCGGGGCTGTGCGCTCCTCGCCAGCCTGCGCTGCCCCCAGGGGTTCTAACCCGCGCCACTCTCCGGGACAGACCGGCGGGGGCCACCCGCGATGTCGCATTGCCTGCGGGCACGCAGACGCCGAGAGACGCCTGTGGGGCGCAGGGTCACTGAGGCAAAGTACTCACCGCAAGCTTGGGACATAAATCACTGTCCCCGTGCCCAACAAAGGCTCCATCCCCGCGGCTGGGGACAGGCAGCGTCCATGCAGCGAAAATACATAAGGGTGTCAGGGTTGGGACGCCGCGTGTTGACGGTGCCCGGCCCAGCGGGCACCAGGCGGGGAGACGTGGCCAGAGGCGGGCGCCGCAGCAGCTGCAGCCTGGGCCGGATTCTGGAGGTGTCAGGATGAGGGGGCCGTGCCCGGGGGCAGCGGGTGGAGGGCGCTTGTTCGGCACCTGCCACAAGTGCACTTTGTGGGCTGGATGTTTGACCTTGAATAAAGTGCTTCGCTCCGGTTCCTCCTCCTGCCCCTTCTGAACCTGGGAGGCAATCTGGGCGACAGGAAGGAGGCACTACTCTGCTCATCCCACCTCTTTGAAAAGCACATTCCAGGAAATGCTGGAGCACCCCCCCTCCGAGACGGGACACGACCTCCCCAGTCACGGGGCTGGGAGGTAGTGGCACCAGGATGGGACTCACACCACTGCCCTCCCGTGCGTCCTCCACCTGCTGCTTGGTTTCAGTTGCCGGCTTGGTTTGTTCCCTGGTATCACCTGACCCAGGCAATCTGCGTAGCTGACGCGTTCCGGCCCCTCCCACCTTGTCCCTACTTTGCCCTATTTCCCAAAGGCGCTTCTGTTCCCTCTGGAGCAGCGGTCAGGGCAAGGGTGGAAATGGACCTGCAGGTGGTCGTGAATAATTCAAATCCAGACTTGCCCATGAGTCCTTGGGGACATGCAAGGACACCACCAGCCATGACAGTGTCCCCCAAACCGCACAGGCATTGGCCGGGCTTCTCTGGGCATCCCTTAAGTGCTTACTTACTCATTCCGAAAACATCCCTTGGGACCTCCTGCAGGTGGCACCGAGACTGCAGTGAGGAACAGGAGCGTTCACGGTGCAGCCGCCGGTCACGTGGGTGGGACAGGCACACACACCCATGCGAAGTCGCCTTGGTGTGAGAAGCGCTGCGAAGCCAAGGCTCGCCTCACCCGGAAAGTGCCACACGGGGGTCTTACCCGCGGTGGTTGGAGGTTCCCCCGTGTGTGTGATGAGTGAGCCCCAACCTGAAGGCTGAAGAGGGGGGACAGACATTCCAGACTGAAGGAACAGCGTGGGCACGTGTCCTAGGGCAGAACAAGCACCGCAGCACGCATGGTCGGAAAAGTGGCCCGGTCACCGGAGAGGAAGCAGCAGGAGGAGCCAGCTGAGACTGGACGGCGAGGCAGGGCCGCGCCAAGGGGCTGGGCCTTCGCTTTGGGAACGGTGGGGACCTGTTACGTCGTTTTAAGAGAAGGAGATGATCGAAAGAGCGTATTGAAATGATGTGTCTGCTCAAGGGTAGAGAAAACGCCAGAGTGGGGGGCTGATGGAAAACCGCAGGCTGTCGTGGCAGTCCAGGTGAGGGGTGCAGACAGCTCGCACCGGAGGATGGAGGTCGATGGCAAGAATGACAGATTCTAGAAACATCTGCAGGTCTCTGGTCTAGCCTCACCTTCTGGGCATTAGCCATGCTGAAAATAGGGACCTAAAGTTTTCATTTTTTTTTTTTCTTCTTACCTAATTCCAGAATTAGGTAAGGCGACTTCACACATCTATCCCAATGTCACCAGGTTTTTAGTGGGAGAATCCTGGGGTAGCAGTAGTCAAAACCCAGGGCCCCATTTGCTGTCTTCACCAGCGGCGTGTGTGCCCAGGCCCCAGCGGGAGGAGGAGATGAGGGCTCGTAAATAGCGCGCCTCTGTTTTTCTTGCTCTTGTTTTATTTCTCCATCTACATATAAAGCAATGTGCCTGTGTGATTTTTCCCCTTAATTTTCTTTCTGCCGCCTCATTAGCCGGAGAGAGTGTGCGTGGACACTAATGACATCAGCATGTCAGCGTAATGTGGCAGCCGCTTCCCGGCAGACAGCAAGGAGGCAGCCGAGATTTTTAAACTGTGTTGGCGTAAAAATAATGAAGGCGGCCAGCTGCCTGGCAGACGCGAGGGGCACAGTGCGGAGGGATTGGGGAGGGGCAGGGAGCCCCAGAGAGGTGGAACAGAGGAGAGACAGAAAATGAATTCCCAGAGACAGGCAATAAGACTTTGTCACAGTCTGTGACCCGGGGGGGGGGGGGGCGGGGGAGGGGCGGTGCTTTTGCTCCGAGGGAGGGGGAGGGCAGCTCTTTCAGGGCTGGGGGGGGGGAGGCCCTGCGTTGTGCAGT